GTGTTCTGTTTTTGCTGTCACCGTTGGCTGTGGGTAGAGACACCTGGCTGGAAGGGAGGGGCCAGCCAGGCTTGTTCGCTGTTTTAGGGCCACCTGCCAGATGTATCTCAGGGCAGAGTCAACCTCGTTGCAAGGGTGATCAACCATGAGAGTTTCATAGGTTAAAATAAATATGCTATCCTATCCACACTGAGGAATTCAATTTGAATTTCAGAGTAGAACTGAAGACTTCAGCTTCTTAGAGCAGCTTGAAGCCCCTAAGGACAAGAGGTGTGGCTATATTTTGGGAGCATGTTGGTGCAGCATAGCCTGGGTGTCATCTATATTTTGGTCCCAGATATAAATTAATAGAGAGAAGCCTTTAGGCACCTTTCAAACCTGTATGCTTCCTCCCTCCCCGCACCTCCACTCCCAACCCCCAAGGATGATGGTTTTGGCAAAAGCATCCATTAAATGTTGAGCTATCATGCCTGGCACCACAAACTTAAGAGTATAAACCTAGAGGCATTTGATAAAACACATAGTATTAGAATCGTTAGTAGGGAGGGTGGTCAGGTGTATCTAGGCTTTAGGAATGAGAACAGAGACTTCCCTAGGAGCATATACTCCATTGATGAGAGTGATGGGCCTTGAGCAAACCTTCAAGTCTTGGTGTTGGGAACCACAGTGAAAGTAGCTGGGGAGATGAGCAGGTGGCTCAGTTTGATCCTCAGATCTCCAGCACCTACCTAAAAAGCATGACACATCACTGGGCTTTTGAAATCTCAGTGCTGGGAAGGGAAGGCCAGGAAGACTCTTGGAGCTCTCTGGCCAGACAGTCTAGTCTCTTTGAAGCTCCAGACCAGTGCAGAGGTGGGTGGTTTCTCTCAGAGCCCTCAGATTGTCTCCTTCGCTATACATATGTGCACATACATGTGCACCCCACTCACCCCCACAGAGCAGCAGTACAGGGATAATTTAAAAAGAAACCGTAGTGAAAATATGAGGAGCCTGCCAGGACAGCAGCTGTCTAGTGGTGATGCCATCAATATTAACTCACATGTCCTGTGTTAGCCTCTTACCAGGGCTCGGGTGATAGGTGTAAACTACGTTTGAAGTGGAAATGCAGATGGGGTAGAAGGACCTGATGTCTAATCGTGCCTCCTCTGCTGCCAGCTTTGAGACCATTGGCTTGGGCAGGTAGTCTGCGAGCCTAGAACACAAAATGAATGATGGCAACACTGACAAGTGTGAAAGCTTGCCATCGTTGGTCTTGCTAGTACAAGCCTCTAATCACAACTACTCAGGGGGATGAGGCAGGAGGATTACAAGTTCAAGGCCAGCCTGGGCATCTGTAATGAGAGCCTGTCACAGATTGCATGCGTGCTTATATGAATAGGTAATTCCATAGTTAAGGGCATGGCTCAGTCTTAGAAAATTTACCTACCATGTGCAAGGTCCTGGGTTTAGTCTCCAATTCTGTAAAAGTTCTGTAAACACCAATAACCAGAAACAAGTGGAAAACAACAACCAAACAAACCAGACATCCATGCATGTGCGTGGACACTCTTTAATAAGGTTTATTCCGAACTTACTTCAAGGTTTCGCCTCAGAGTCAGTGACCAAAACACAGGAGACATCAATATTCAGTCCTCATCAACATAGGTGTTAGGCCTTGCAATTTCTAGATAAAGTCAAGGAACATAAAATATGACCCAGATGAGCAGGGATTTATGTGAAGCTGCCTCTGATTTGTGGCCTCTCTAGGGTCCCCTGGAGGGCAGCAGGCTTGGTGTTCTTTGTCTACTGGCCCAGGCTCTTCCATGTACTTCTTCCAAGTGCTTTGCAAACCAGAACTTCCAGCATTGTATAAGAATTCTCCTCTCATCTCGAAGCTGAGAAGGAAAAGCCATCAGGAAATTCCCTTGCTGGGGTGGCTGGAAAAAAGCAGAGCAAGGATTACGAAGTCAACTCAGGAGACGGGAGCAAGATGGGATCTGGGCCTGTGCGTGTGTGTGCGTGTGTGTGTGTGTGTGTGTGTGTGTGTGTGTGTCCCCTGTGCTCCTTCATGCCCCGCCTTGGAAGACCTCCTTCTAACAGGGACCCCTCTGTTGTTGTGTCTCCGAACTCCACTGGAGCAACATAGTTTCCCAATGATGCGACTGGATTCCTGATGAGTGACACTGTGGGGCAGCATGGTGAAGGGCGCCCGTTGACTGCCTTGGGGCCCCAGACAGGCCTACCATTGTGAGTCACATTTAACATGTGAGCTCCCCTTTCCCATGACTGGCGCTATTCTTAGAACCATTTCTGCTCTGGGCGACAGAGGGTCTCTGGAACCACAATCCATTTGGGTAGGTGGATGGGACCAGGATCAAGGAAGGGGAGATGAAGAGGCTTTGGAGACTCAGAGCATGTTGGAGCAAGGGTGAAGGAAGGAGGCTGAAGCCCTGAGGGTGTGAACAGGTCTATGCTGAGCAGTTGAGAAATGGCCTCAGGAGACCTGTAACTGGGACTACAAGTCTCATTCATGAGTCTGGGGCGTGGACTTGGATGTGGCTGGCAGATATGCAAAGCCAGTAAGCACTGCAACCCCAGAGCTGCCTTCATGCTTGTATCTCCATGGGGACTTGGTTTTCCTGCCAGAAGTGAAGTGAGGCTGATGTGTTGCTGTAGGAACAGGGTCCTTGTGACACCATCCAGGAAGGAGATAGCCCAGAAGCCACAGGTCCATACCCTTCCCCCCTCTGTTGCTCTGTCCGACAGAAAGGTGATGTGTAGAAGTCAATGAAAAGATTCCAGTTGGGAAGTTTTAGGGCCAGCCATGGGATTGTCTCATTGGGTACAACAGTGTGTAGGTTCTTATCCCCTCTTTGACGTGGGTAGGGCAGGAGTCTCGCTGTGTAGACCAGGATGACCTTAAATTCTCACTTCTCATTTGGCCTCTCGAATGCTGGGCCTACACACATTTAGCATCTAAATTCCCGTGGGCTGGCAGGAGCACACCTGTCAGCTAACCTGTGTTTTCTGGAAGAGTCCCAGGAAGGAGACTTGAGCTGACATTACCATTCAGCAAACTAGAGATGCATCTTACCCTTCAAGCTCCTCTGCTTGCCTTAGATACCCACTTTCCCCTTTTCTTCTTCTCTCTGGTGTCTCTAGAATAAAAGATTGCAAAGTTGATCCTAGAAGGTGGCTTACCAGTGCCCATATTAACATTTTTTTTGTTCCCTCTGAACACAGGAAAAGTAACATTAAGGAAACAAAAGCTTTTCAGGTTAGGATTCCCCTGTCCCCAGCCATATTCAGACAGCCATATGCTGATACACATAGGCTGTAGTGAGTTCTTTGGCACTGAAGTTTAGGTAGCACTGCAGGAAAATTGCTTTTGTCCCCCAAGCTGGTGCTGATAATATAATTTTTGAAGTCCTCTTTTTCTTTTCTGTCCCAGCTTGTGCTTTACTCCTGAGTCTTCTTCTCTAGGACCTGCAAATATGCTCACTACCTGTCTGCCAATGAAATGGGTTTTCTGATGCTGGCAGTATCACTTATTGGGATTGGTACCCAACATAGTAGGTCCTATGTCTCTGAAGAGTCTGTGACTACTGTGAGAAGCAAGGGAGATGGGTCCTGAAAGCCAGATCCATTTAGCATGTGAGTCACTGCAACCAGGCAGGCAATATCATTAGCTGTGTGGCTTATGGTTTGGGCAGTGTATTGAAGAATCTGAGGTCTTGCCCAGTTATTCTGTTTCTCATCTGAATGGCTTTACCCAAGTTAGACAGCAATGTTGTACATTGTGTTTTTGTTGTTGTTTTTCTGCTGGAGAGTGGTAGAAAATGATAGACTAATAACAGCATCTATCCCATTAAGTCGCTGAGAATTCACAAGCAGAGAAGAAAGCATTGATGTGTCTAGTGTAGCTAAGGCTACAGTGAATAGTGGCTCCCCTTAGTTTTCTCATATTTGAGGTCTGTAGTGTTAATACAGAGTGAGCATAGAACTCTGATGTCATCTTTTCTGTGTCTGGCTGTCAGGGATGTGTGAGATCACTGAGCACCATCAGGAAACTTAAAATTGACATTGGAGCTATTATAGTTCATTTCTCTTATATTTTTAGTTATGAGCCTAGCCTTTAACAGCCGAGCCATCTCTCCAGCCCTGTAGTCCATTTCTCAAGAGCGGTTCGCTTTCTTAGCTCCTAGGTCACCAAGAATGGCTTCTCAGTGGGTCTCTCATTTGCCATCTTTAGCTTCCTGAGCTCAGACAGGTAATAGCAGCTGTTAACTGGATTCTCAAGAAATTGGAACATGTATTTGAGTTGTGTACTAAGTGAATTTTTACAGATGGGTATATATGGAGTGAGGGAAGGCCTTCTGGGTTGTTTCTTCAAATAATTCATTTACTTAGAAGGCATTTGCTGAGTGCTTTTATTTTCACAATATATCTTGCAAGATGGCTTCACAGAACTGAAGGTATGTTCTCTGTGTGGTAAGGAAGTGCTGGCTCCTTTACTCCACAAAGCTTTTATGTGCTAAGGAGGGACTAAACCCCTTTGGCACCAGGGAGGCATAGGCAGGTAGATCTCTGAGTTTTAGGTCAACCTGGTCTACAAGTTCTGGGCCAGTCAGGGCTACGCAGTGAATTCTTCTCTCAGAACAAATAAACAAACAATAATAGTAGTTCCTTAGAACACGTGTGAAGATAGACTCTGTGTTTTCTTTCCAGAAAACTCTAGAATTAAAAGAGCATAGCAGTTAAAGGAGACTGACCTGAGAATTAATTAAAAACAGACAAATAGTATATTATCCTGTGTGGTTTTCTTTTTCTTTTTTTCTTTTCTGGAAGGAAAATCTTTACTTTCTCTGAGCACTGACTCCAGTGTTTGTGCTGAAGATTGCCTGAGTTTTCTCCTGTCTAGACAGGCTGGGAGGGGACATGAGGGCTACCGCATAGTGGGACTAGTTGCTGTGAGCCTTCAGTGTGTTTTGTTAATGAGCCACCGTGCCTTGTGCTTCCAGGAAGTGGGCCCATCCAGCTGTGGCAGTTTCTTCTGGAATTACTCACTGATAAGTCTTGTCAGTCTTTTATCAGCTGGACAGGAGATGGCTGGGAATTCAAGCTCTCTGACCCAGATGAGGTAAGAAATGACTCGGGAGTCCTGGGCTGAGAAAGGGTGAGGGAAAATACTGGGATTGTGATCCCATGGGCACGCATTACTAGCTCAGCTCTGCTGCTTGCTGCTTGTGTGACTTATGATGCAGCCTGCCTGAGCTTCTGTTCCATCATTGGCAGAATGCAAAGTGTATACACTTCCACACTTCCGCTGGGATAAACTGATGTGTATATTAAGTTCCTGGTACATAGTTGATTCTGCCCTCTGTCTAGTCCCTGGCTCTGTGCATCCGAGAGGCCTTGAAAGATGCGTTCACTCTGATAGTTTTCCATCCTTTTATCCCAGAGTGCTTACTAAATGGTTGGTATATGAGGGAGGAGATCACTCTTCTGGCAGACATGAGAACGTGTCTCCACCCTGGTCCAGAAAGGATGCTTCCCACTGGTGGATGCAGAGGTGTCAGCGATCTCCTCTATCCTCACCTTCCTGTCCAGTTCTGTGCTTTCAAATTAAGGATGCCTGCTTATAATGTGGGCCACAGGGATGTCTGCCCCGTGGCCCTTCTTTTTCCTTCAAAATCAAGGGTTTTAACTGTACCCCAGAGGAGTTCAGGGTCACTGTGTTTTCATCAGTTTAGACAATTAAGTCAAGTCCAACACTTGGAAACTAGAACTTAGAAGTTGTATTGCAGTGATGTGTATGGAATAGGGACATTGTTTTGTTGAGAGGACTACTCTGGGCTCTGAAAGACAGCACATATTCTCACTTACACGTAGAGACTGAATTGTTGATTCATAGAAGTAGAAGATAAAATAGTGACTTATCTGAGCATGGTCAGGAGGAGGGTAAGGGGATGGAGAGACAGTGGTTAATGAACCCAAGGATGCCGTTACAGGAAGAGTCAGCTCTGGAATCCCTGTGGCACTGTGGGGTAGCTACAGAACATTAATCAGATATTTCAGAATAGCTAATGTGGGTTATTTTGAATGGTCCCCCAAAAGTAATGGTAAATGTCTGTGACTGAAGACACACCATTCAGCTTGGTCTGATCATGACACAATGCGTAGCTGTATTAAAATGTTGCATTGTTCTGCCTACACCTTTTGAAATAATCTGTGGATGTCCATGACTCCTAACTATATACTCAATGTATAGTTATTATAAACAATTAAAAATATTCTTTAAAAAGAAAATGAAAATCAGAGGGAATAAAAATCAGTCAGAAATGTACACACACACACACACACACACACACACACACACATACACAGATATTTCTGAGCATTTTGTTTGCCTATCGTGATGAATATGAAGATACGTATTGGCATGTATTGTGATATTATCCTCCGGGTGTTTATCCACTTGTATTTAATTTTATTTTTATTGCAGGTGGCCAGGAGATGGGGAAAGAGGAAAAACAAACCTAAGATGAATTATGAGAAACTGAGCCGTGGCCTTCGCTACTATTATGACAAAAATATCATCCACAAGACGGCGGGTAAGCGCTACGTGTACCGCTTTGTCTGCGACCTTCAGAGTCTGCTGGGATACACCCCTGAGGAGCTGCATGCCATGCTGGATGTAAAGCCAGATGCTGACGAGTAACGGACACGGAAGGGGCTGGGGGAACCCTACTGAGACCTTTCAAAGAACAACTGTGTTGGTTGGACTCTTCCTTTTTAATTGTTATTCTATGTTTTATTTTCCAGAACTCATTTTTTACATTCAGGGGTGGGAGCTAAGGGAGCTGCAGTTATATCCCATTGGCCATTGGCAAGGCCTGAAAGAGGAAGTTAGGACCTGTGGGGTGGGTGGGGCAAGAAGTTCCTGAGCAGATTTTCAGGAGGGAGAAAAAGGTCTTCTCAGAGGCCCTGATGGACCTGACTTGCAGAGGAAAAAAACTTATGTGTCCAGTCATTTCGTTTTTAATCAAAGAAAAAAATTCATTTTGAGTTGTGGATGTACTAGGAATTGTCACATGAAGAGTAAAGAGACTGATGAAAGTCAGTCAGTTTGGAGGGTGGGATGGAAACAGATTCTTCAGGGGATTATTAAGCTCAAGAATTATTAACCTTTCTACTTTTTGAAACAAAGATGGACTTTAATGGAAGGGGTCCAAAACCGTTTTTATGTTGAAGTTTATTTTATTAAATTTTGTGCCAGTATTTTTTTTTTCTTTAAAAAAAATCGTTTTAAGCTCTAAGGTGGTCTCAGTATTGCAGTATTGTGAGTTTGTTGTTATTTGCTGGATGAGGATTCTGTCACAGTGAAAGGCAACTGTTTATATAGACCCCATTGGAAAATCCAAGCTCTGTACTGAGATCAGAGACCCCAAACTCTTACAGCTAAAGGAAACGAATGCTGATTTGGGGACAGGGGAACTGAGCATGTGAATCCCACCTTCGGTGTGTAAAAAAAAAAAAAAACGTTTCCTGTCCTTTTACTTACTGTCAGGCTTGGACTTAGTGTTAGGTAAGGGGCATTGAGTCTTTGCACTGAATGTATTTCGCAGCTATGCTTGAGAATCGTTGTCAACATAGGAGCACTGTTAAAGTCTTGGAAAGGAAATCCAAGGAGGAGGATTAACCTGGTTTTTGGTTAAATTGCTACCCGAAACATAGACGACTCAGAATAAAAGCTGTTTGCATGGACTCAGAATAAAAGCTGTTTGCATGGGCATTACCCATTGGGTCTTAAGGCCTAAATGCATGCCATTCCAAACTAACATTCTACAATTTCTCCTCTATGTCTTAATTTCCCCCGTCATCCCTCATTGCTGTCCCTCCCCCCACCTCATTAATCTGTTAGAGCGGAATGTAATGCCTTCTGATAGGTGAAAGAAAGTGTAATGTCAGCCACCAAAACACAAATCAAAGAGTACAGACTTGCTAGGATTCAGAGGCCACAGACATGAAGAGGGTATTTCAGTAGTAAGTGACTTGGCCTCCTTTGGAAAGAGGCTTTCCTTTGAAGAATTGGCTCTAGTCAGGTAGGATTTCAGGTGAGGCTGCTCGCAGAGGAAGTGGTAGAAAGCACTGGGACTTAGGCTTGACCTGTTGCTGCCTCAGCAAAGGGCAAGCAAAGGTCAGCTGCAGGTGAGAGGAAGATTTGACAGAGAAAATACAAGGGAAGGAACTAGGTAAAGAAAATAAGGTGGCCCATGACGGTTAGGTATAGTTTTACTTTCCTCAAAGTTTAAATTCAAAGACTTAATTGAGGCAGCCAGCTGGGAGAGGAAGACCTGAAAATAAGGCATTGTGGGTAAAAACAGAGTAAGGAAACATGCCTGGTATCATTAGAATCCCTTCCACTGTGTGCATGCCTAGTTAAGACAGTGACAGTGGACTTCCATAAGAGAAAAGAGGCAATTGGTTGAAGTGGGCCTCTCCAGGCTCACCCTTCGGGGATCGTCTTCATGAGAGTTGATGGCTGACTCCCAGATTCTCTTGAAGACCGAATTACTAAGAACATAACTCTTGTCCATGGGTGTTCTGTACTGATTGGTTGGAGCATCCCCACAAGGAAGCAAAGGCAAAACATTCCAGCTCTATACACTTTGATCTTACAAAATGCAGATGCCTTAATGAAGCTCTCAAAATACTTAGGAGCTGCTCAGGGAGTGTTAGGTGGGATCATTTGGATTATGTTGTTTTCTCTTATATTATGTGATCTTTGTTGGGCACTGGCAGTGTGTGTGTGTGTGTGTGTGTGTGTGTGTACATTTGTATAAAACTACAGCTGAAATAGTACCGAATTTTCTACTTAAGTCTGTCCACATTTCCATAACAGTGAAAGAGTATGGCCAGGGCTGATCCTATTCTTTGCTCTTTGCGACAGGGCTTAAAAGAATCACTTTCCGAAGTCATGGTCCTCCCCTATATTCAGTTCATGCTGAACACACCCCTTCTGAGAGTCTACCACCTGCAGTCCTCTAGCAGATAAGATGTAAGAAAGTGCTCCCCCCCACACACACTCCTCAGCTTGCTAATTTGCAGAGATGCCCTTTCTCCCTAGGTCCACCACTTTCAGGATTTGCAGATAGTATGTTAGTCAGACAGCTTTGTTGTCCATCTGGCCAGATGCTTTTCCCCCATTTTGTCCAAAGGCCAGAGACCATCCCAGGAAGAGTGGCGGGTGGTTTATACACTGGAAATGTAGCAGCCTTGCTGCATTGATGCTCTTTAAAAGCACGTTCACTTCGGAGGAGGGATGAGCAAATCCGATCTAGCTGGGTGACTCCATTATTTACCCAGAGAAATGCTTTAACCTGTGTGGTTGGCTTTGGGCTCAGAGTTGGTGGGGGGTAAGGATGCTCCCTAGATAGAGCTCTGATGTTGTGGCCATGGAGACCGGTGGAAGCATTCTAGATTAGAGACACTCTTCCTCACTTTGGAGACCAACACTCTGGGTTTTAAAGCATTAACCTTCATGGTGAAATCACACCTTCTCTCTTCTAGCCATGCTGTGCATGCTGCTTTCTCTGTTGGGGTCTATATAAATTTGTTGAACTCTTACGTACATTCCAAAGACGTTTCAAGGAACCACAAGTATATGTATACAAATACATATATGAAGTATATATGTTAAAATGAAATTATCTCTATCAGGAATACTGCCTCAGTTATTGAATTTTTTTTAAGGATACTTTTTTTTAAGGTGAGAATTATTGGGGTGAAAAAGATGTTATATTATGTTTGACTATTTTCCAACTTGTATTTTCATATAATTTATATTTTTTAAATGCTGAAAATTTAAAAGCAAGATTTAAAAAAGGAAAAGCAGGTGCTTTTTAAAAATCAGAACTGAGGTAGCTTAGAGATGTAGCGATGTTAAGTGTCTTAAATGTTTTTTTTTTTAAAAAAAAACAAATGCAAAAAAATTCTTATGGGGGAGTTTTTTGTTTCTTTTAGTAGCTGATGCTGGCACATCATTTTGCTGGAAAGTTTTTTATATACTGTAGCCTGATTTCATATTGTATTTTAAACTGTGTGAAATTAAAGAAACAAAGAAATTCATTCATAACGAGGTGGCTCTGGCTTGATTCTTTCCTGTCTACATCATGGGAGAGTTAGGACAAATTAATCAACTGGAGAAAAGCACAAAAGAAATACAGTCTAGTTCTTTAGATCCTGCAGCTTGGGATCATTTTAGATAAAGATTGCCTAATAAAGGGTTAAGGATGTAGGGACACAGGATTAGTGTCCCATTGATGACCAGTATTGTTTGTCTCCGCCTTTGCTAATGCCCCCTGCCATGTCAGACCTCACTGTTTATGTATGAAGGACCAAGAACCATGTGAAGAAAAAAATTGACGACACAACAGGTAGCTATTGACTGGAGTCCAGGTAGATTCAGGTCCTGATATTAATATAGACAGACTATGATGTTTGGTTTCTTCTGAAGAAAGCAGTGCTCTTTGGCAATTAGAACTCATCATATCTATCTCTTTGGCCCTAACTGTTACACTGGGGCTAGAAATGGAGAAGGATCATATCGTGAGAACCCCTCCAACCTATGTCATGGATAGAATACATACTTCCAAGTGTTTTGGGAGAGGAATGCTTAGGGCCGCATTCTGCATGCGGCTCTTTCTTGTTGAAACTGTAGAAGGTGGATGTTTTTAATTAACACCAACGTTTGCAACATGAATCCCAACTCACAGCTGGAAAGAGATTTTTTTTTGCTGAATTGTTCACAAAGAGAACTCTGTTTTTGGAAAAATCTGTTTCTGCAGCCCTGGAACTTGAGGTTTGCTGAGCACACTTTAAACACGGACTGTGTGGTCTAGTGGTCAGAGAGCCCAGCTGGCCCAGGAGAATGGCTTTAGTTTTGGAAATTTGGTGAAGCCACCACTACTCATGAACAGATTTTTTTTTTTTTTTTTTGAAGAGGTGAGGTCGTCAGATTTTGTCCTCCTCAGCTGCAAACCAGGACAAAGCCCCGACTCCCAAGCCAACCTGAAGCCACATCTGAGATCTTCTGTCCCTGAATAAGCCATTCATTGAATGGATTCCAGCGTCAGTCAAAGCTTTGGACAAAAACTCCGAAGTTGACATTATCTCTCAGGGTATCTGACTACATGCAGACCACAGTAAACAGCATAAGGCACATATGAACAAAGTCAGCTTAGTCCCTTCTCTCTGCATCCAGAAGCTACAGATCCAATGGGGAATTTTAAAGCAATTGGGCTTTGGTGCTCTTAACGACACCAATAAAGGTCTGTAATGGAAGCCATTGTGGAGGGAAATGGCAGTCTGGTAGCAACCATTGCAGGAGTTGGGAAGGATGCATGAGGTAAGGTAAAAGGAAATGGAGGAAAAAAATCATTTAAAATAAGGTGGGGATGCACAGAGTTCACATGCTTTCAGGAGGTAGCAAATAAGAGGATGTGCCAAGTGATTTGAATCCTTGTTGCCATGAAATTATAGCCAATTCCCCAAACAAAGCCCTGACCATGCTTCCTTCCTCTGAGTTGATAAGCTCATATGTGTGGATCAGTTTTCTGGAGCTATGAGAACATAACTGAGATGTGTAGCAGAGAAAAGCATTTTCTTTAGCTCAGAGCTTTGGAACCCAAAGTCCAAAATTAATGGCCCTATGTATTTGACCTCTGGTGAACACTTGATGGTGCTGGCATCGTCCTGTTGGATAGGTGTAGACAGAGACCCTATCTGATGAGCCACAGGGATTCAGGAACCAGGCTTAGTCTTTTCATAACTCTCAAAAGAACTAATTTTTTTTTCACAACCAACATGAATCCTCTTTGAGGCCATGTCCTCCTGACCTAACCACACACTACCAGACTCCATCTCTAGGAGGCTGCACCACTGCACTGGGGATCAAACTTCTAACCCACAGATCTTTGGGTGATAGATTAAAATCATATCCAAACTATAAAAAAAAACAAAAACTCTTCAACATAGTGAATTGTAATTATTGTAACCCAAAAAGAGATTGTAATCTGTGTTTGGGGTATAATAAGGGAGAGAAAATGGAAGATAGTGATAACAAAACAACATCCCATCTCTCTGAGATGCTGCATTTGTCCTTCAAAGTGTGGAACACACTTACGCAGCCCAAATGAGTAACCTCCTGACATATGCCATGGCACTGAATAAGTTCTCTTCCTCTTCCCTGGATGAATAAGAATCTCCTATTTCATCTCAAGTGGGGCCAGCCTTATCCGTTTACATACTTGCCCGTTTCCTTTAGAATGTGAGTCTATGGCTCTTACATAGCTAGCTATCCTCTATGTTTACTTAACATGAAGATTATTGAATTCAAGAAACTCTAGTGGAAGAGAGTACAGAAGGTCATCAGGCTCATCAGAGAGCCATCTGACTTCTAATCCCTTGTTTTTTTTTCCATTAGGCCATGTGCTTGCCATAGAACTTGAAAGACTTCCTTTGAGGACATGGGGTGGTGGCTCACCATATGTGGGATCCATAATCCCGGTACTAAGAGGTACACTTCATCCTCTAAACATGGAAGGGGACAAAGTCTCCTTTTTAGGAAGGATGCTTTTCAACCTTCAAAATCCTCTCTGACCTCTCCTTTTTTTTGTCCAGTCCACCCTGGAGGTGGTTGGTAATGTGGTCTGCTTGTACAGAGGCTCTTCTCTGTTCAGAGTGGGAGGATCCCTGACTCACTTGGGAGCTGCCTCTAGGACCAACCCTAGCTGCTTGGTGTCCCATATTGGCCGAGCTTATTGTTGGCTGCAAACCACCCCAAGGGATCCCTCCATGCTATAAAAACCCACCTGGTCCTAAAAGCAGTGAATAACAAGACAACAATACTTTCTTGGTGCCTGTTGTGATATGGCAGTCATTCCAGGGGTCTATTTATAGCAGATGTTGATCAACTGGAGAAAAATCTCAAGGCAAATTTGGGGTCATACCTGTTAATTGAGAGCTCAGAACCCAGGTTAGGGGATAAAGTGGACCTGTCATCTGCCTTTGGGCCAATGCCATTTCCTGTTTTACTTTATGTCCCAGTCCCCTCCTTTGTTTCCATTTTCCTGACAAATATGTCTGTCCTGGGAAAGCCACTCTTCAATGGCCTGGCATATCTCTGTGTGCTGACGTCCAAAGTAATGATAGCAATGAACATCTGCCTACAGCAACAAGAGGAAATCTACAATGGCCAGGTCTTGTGGCATGCTCCCAGTTCCCAAAGCCTGCAGGGAGTTTACAGACCTGTCTAATCTCTCCTCTTTGTCATTCAGGCCCTGATATGGGTAGCCACTGCTCTGCACGGGGAACTTTGATGTTGGGTTGGTTCTGGTCACTCCCTGTGATAAGACATAAAGAGTCCAGGAAAATTTCAGCAGCCACTTGTGGTAATTACTAAGGTCAAGAGATGGCCAGTGTCTCCTCTATGTCCTCTGCTTGACACACTATCAGTTTAGGCCATTGCATCTGAGCCACTATATAGCAGGCAACTGTAACCTTTCTATAGGCAAATATGAAACTACAGCTGATTCAAGATCTATTCCCAATGTGTACCTGGAAATAACAAGAGAGTGCTGATACTTGGAGAAATGGCACCAGTTTTCAGATGGCCACAACACCAATGGTAACAGTAGCTTGGTCTGAGATTGTCTTGTTGATGCAAGACTCCTCCAAACTATGGAAGAGAGATGGCAATAGGGACTTTCTATGTACTTTGGGAATTGTACAGTGTTCATAATAAATGGTAGCTGGTCTCACAGATCTCTGAAATAGAAAGTTCAAGACCTAATACAGAGCTGGGGACATTGCTCAATGATGAGCGAGCACTTATCTACCATACGCAAGGTCCCAACGAAGTGAAGAAAGGGAGGAAGGAAGGAAGGAAACAACACAGTCCAACCCCAAACCATTCTCTCTAACAATAAGTGAATTGAGAGCCTGTCTTCCTTTGCTGCTGTAAGTGAAGATCCAAATCCTGGAGCCCAGACAACAAAGACAGAATTAAAACCAAGGGGGACCACATAACTGAGGGAATCTGGGAGCATCCCAGTGTCCTCAAATCATCCTGGCTGGATCTTTCTGACAGGTCCTTTCTCCTCCATAGTGTGTTGAAAGGTCTCCTTGGGAAAAACAACAGTGGCTAAGCCACTCAGAGGTGTCCAATCTGCAGTTTAATCACAACTATGTTGTCTACAGAGATCATGGTCATTATCAAAAATCAAGTTGCAAAATAATTGCCCCCAATCTTAACAGTGTTTTAAACTTAGTTTTTGGAACAGGACACATTCATAGTTATTGTATGGTGCATTTGGACTGCGGACTGTAGATTAGACATTCCTAGAAGAATGATGGCCGAGGGGCAAAATGCTGGAAGTCTAAGATTCTACAGTTTTAGAATCTAAATCACTTTAAGTTGACATTATATTCTCCCTTCCACTAGGCACTCATGATTTAACAGTGCAGAGGGGGTACATGACTTGTGCCCTCCAATAATCATCCCATTGATGACAGAACTGGTACAAGAATGCAAATCCTGTTTTCCCCATGTCCTCCTATATCCCTCTTCTCTACTTGAATTACTCTCATCCAATTTCTGGGTAATGCATCCTGGCTTAAGCTCATCCCTAGAGGATTTGGTGTTAGTCATCATTATTATTTGCATTAGCCTTGATGGGTTCTATACTCTGCTAAATGCTGAGGTCATCTAAGGAATGAATGGGAATCTCTCTCCATTGAGATTGACACACTGGCTGGTACCAAGAACAAGAACCTGAAGAGGTCTCTGACCTGAAAGGATGAAGATGAAGCTAGACAGGCATGAATGGAAGAGGTTGGGGTACAGAGAAAACATACAACCTATGAGAGAAACCAGAACTTGGAAGGACAGAGCAAAAGCTACAGAAACAAAGGCTGGGGTCACAAGAGATGGGCAGGAGGTGATCTTGTATGGTGAGCCTTGTGAAGTACAAGGTAGAGTCTTGGGACTCTTGCTGCGGGCTTAGCCACAGCTCTTGCCTTGTGCTTAGAAAAATCTGACTAAATGGCAGATCAGAAGGGACAGCCTGGAGGAAT